TTAAAGACGGGGGAACAATTCAGAGTTAGGTACACAAATGTTTATTATGCAGGTACCCCTGTCGATGAGGTGTGGCCCCCTCTCCCCCCCGAGGGTCTTGAGGGAGGAGAGCACAGCCAGAGCTGAGACATTTTTTGGACAGGGGTTCAGGGTCTCGTTCTGTTGCCCAGGCTGGAGTGCGATGGCCCGATCATGGCTCATGGCAGCCTCGACCTCCTGGGCTCAAGCAGTTCGCCCATCTCATTCTCCCAAGACGCGGGGGCTACAGATGTGCGGCCCCATGCCCGGCTGATTTTTGATGTTTCGTAAAGATGAGGTCTCGCCATGGTGCCCAAGCTGGTCTCAAAGCCCTGGGCACAAGCCATGCTCCTGCCTCGGCCTCCCAAAGTGCAGGGATCACAGGCGTGAGCCACTGCGCCGGCCCCAGATCTGAGAGTCGATCTGCCCTGCGGTCGCCAAGTTGGAGGTTGAAGACAGAGGCGGCTGGAGTGGATGTCTTGGTGAGATTAGACCGGGATAGTGGCAGGGACCGTGGAGGGGAGTGAGCTGGAACTTGGCCTCCAGGGTTTCTCCTGGCTTGTGGGGGAGGCTGGGGAACGGACCGGTTTGGAGAAGGTTCCAGGAGTTTGGCTGTGGGTGTGTCGCAGTGGAGCCCCAGACAGAGTCGCCAGTGAGAGGACGTGCGTGTGGGGCTTGGGGTGGGGGTCGGCGCTGGAGTCGCGTGGGAGAGGCTGGCTTGTAGACAGAGCTGCAAGTCAAGGGCGAGGCTGAGATCCACACGCCGAGGGCTTCCCGTGCACAAGGCGACTTGGGCATCGGGGAGGGCGTGTGGGGGCTGCAGGACCTGTCCCCCAAGCTCTCAACGTGGGTGTCATGGTGCTTGAGAGGTGCATATCTAAATGGGGGACCTCAAAACCCCGGAATTTATTTATAAAAACTTTCATGTTGATTTATTTTTGAGTTGGAGTCTCATTGTCGCCCAGACCGGAGTGCAGTGGCCGCTCCCGGCCACCGCAGCCTCGACCTGCTGGACTCCGGCGATCCTTCCGCCTCCGCCTTCCGAGTAGCTGGAACTACAGGCGCGCGCTACCACGCCCGGCTAATTTTTTGATTTATTGCAGAGACGAGGTCTCGCCAAGTTGCCCCGTCGGGTCTCGAACCCACGGGCTCAGGCAATCCACTTGCCTTGGCCTCCCAAAGCACTGGGATCATAGGCTGAGCCACCGAGCCCGGCCTCATGGTTATTCTTACGTGTCTGAGCTTCAGTCACCTCCCAAGTCCTCTCCATTTGAGGCAATACACCTATCAAGACACTTTTTTCACTGCTCAGAACAGTTTTTGAACTTGTCCATTTTGAGGCCTTGTAGTGAGTGCTTCTGCCGTTTTTAATTTCGCCTCTTCCACATGGGCAGGATGTTTCCCTTTGAGGACTTTTTTCGTCCAGGAAACAAAGAAAGAAAGAAAGTCGCTTGGGGTGAAAGTCGCTTGGGGTCAGCTGAACGTGGAGCACAGTGGCTCAAACCTGTAATCCCAGCACTTTGAAGGCAGAAGATTGCCTGAGTCCCCCCCTGGTAAGCACACAAAACTGAAACATCGAAAGCTAGAGAAAAAGAGGATTCTGTCAGCACACATATTGAGTACCAACTGTATACCAGGGGTGTGAAGATCCCAGATCTTAAAAAACGAGAAACACTGCCGCATTCCAGAGGACTCACTCAAATCCCCAGCAGGTAAATAATAGATGTGGGTGGGTCCATGTATGAAAAGACTAGGGCAGCATTTCCAGAGGGAGCTGGCCTTGAAGGACAGACGAGGATCTGACGGGCAGAGCTGGGCTTGGCGGAGGTGGGCAGGAGGAATTCTAGGCACCGGGAGCTGCTCTAAGCCAAGATCTGGAAGCAGGAGGCAACCAGCTGCACTCAGAGATGAATCTCGTCTGGCGCTGGGAGTTGGGTCGAAGGCTTGAGTGTGGGGTTCCTGCGCAGATGCCCCAGTGCCTGGTCCAGTTGGTAGGCACTGACAGCAAACAGCTGTCGACCCTGGTGTCAGCTCCTATTGATGGGCAGTGGCTGCCTAGAGGTGTGGGGCAGAACACGGCAATCAACTAGTCATGTCTGCTGTGGGCAGAGGCAGGGAACGAGGCATCACATATGCTGACCGCTTCCCTCTCCGGCCACACGCAAAGGTGCAGGACTGAGGCTGGGGGGCCATGTAGGGTGTGGGTGTCTCCCCGAGTAGAGGTGAGCTTGAACTCAGCCTGCACTAGAATGGAGCCAGAGGAAACAGCAAAATCAGGGCCCCGAAGCGCTATTTGCGTGGTTGCAGCAGAAAGGGCCAGGAGGGAGCAGGGGACAGCAGATGTGAGCCTGGGTGGCTGGGCTGAGGGAAGTGCTCTTCATAAAAACTTTTTGGAGGGTTGGGCAGAGGTGATTTGTTTTTTTGGTGGTGAGTCTTCTTTGGGAGGCAGCCTCCTGGATGATGGTGGTGACAGCAGCTAGCTCTGAGGACAGATATTGTGGCGCCGTGCTCCTTTGCTGTGAGAACTGGGGTGTCTGACCAGGAGTGAGCCCGCCCTCTGGATTACCCCCTCCCCCGAGCCTGCACCCCCTCCCCTGGAGAGAAGGGCCCTGCCCTGGGAAGTCTCCACTGCCCACACCCTCTTTGGGAAGTCGATCGGCATCTGAGTCCCAGCACCACGCGGAGGGACCCCGTGGGGGGGGCTTTGGAAATAGCTTGAGATCAACACTGGAGGACAGCGTAGATCTCGGTGAACAGTTCTCTGTGCCAGGGTGGGACAGGGCTCCAGGCGGTGCCATCAGTGCCCGGCGGCCCTGCTGACCTCCCTCCTGGGCACCCGCCCCCCGCCTGCTCGCCCTGCTGGCCCGGTGGGGGGGTGAGGGCCCCTTTCACTCCTCTCTGGATTGGTTTTTTACAAGATTGATTTATTAACTATGATACATATCACATAAGGCCTTTTCAGTTTTTTACACCATTCCCATTGAGACAAGTACAATACTTTGTAGCAAATACATGATTTTAAAAAACAAAACCAAACAAAAACACCTCAGTCAGAGATGCCCCAGCCTTAGTTGAGGGCTGACCATGCACTAATCGGGTTGGAGCCTCAAGAAACCCACGACGTGTTTAAAAAAAGTCTGGAAATTAAGCAAACATTCCTAACACCAACTAGAGGGTGTCTGTTAAAGCCCCTAAAACACAAAGAAATCACTGTTATACTGTCTTTACATACAGTTCTCCACTCTTGCTGCGAAACAGAATTTTGGGCACACGGCCAGACTACTAACACATCTCAATACCATTAATATGCTTTTGTTTTCTCAGGAAACTCAAAATATTTGTTAATTCAACATATATAAAGATCATTTAACATGTGAAAATACAAGTACCAGAAAAATAAGCTGGCAGCAGCACTATTCCAAATTTTCCAACAAGTTTTATTCCCATACGATTCGGAGACATTTCCTCTTGCCTTAAATGTACACAGGGAATGTGATTCTTTTTATGTGAACAATACCTTAGGCCCAGCCTGGACTAGGTGAGGTGTGGTGTCGCAGCTGTGGTCCGCGGGAGGGCTCTGGAGGCAGCCAGGAGGGTGCACCCGGGACCCTGCAGGAGGTCCCCACACGGCCGAGGTGAGCCAGGGATGCCGCACTTGAGGCCCGAGCGGCGTGCGACCTGACATGGGCTAAGCGCTCGGAGGCATCCCACGTCCCTTGCATGCAAGCCAGTCCCCCCCAGCAACCTACCCCTGCCTGGAACGCGACCCTCCTGACACAGCCCTCTGCACAGGAGGCCTTGGGGGCCACCATACACTACTTTATAAGCCAGTGCCCCAAAGCAGGGGGCTCCATCTCACAGGAGAGTTCGAGAGGGGCGCACAGCTGGGGATTCTGATGACAAGCTGCTGCAGCCGGCCTGTTGTCAAGCTTTGGGTGTCTGTGAGGCCAGAATGCAAGTGGCCTAAGGGAGTCAAGGGGACACAAGGCTCTGACTGGGGTCCTGAGACCGCAGGAACTGAGGCACAGAACCAGGAGGGTGGGCTCACCCAGCCCCTTCTGACTGACTGCTGCTCCGACGATGTCACCCTCTGTCCCCTGTGGCAAAGACACATTTAGCAGGAGACTCACTGATGCAGCCTCCTGCCCTCCGCAGAGAGAAAAACCAGGGGCAGGCAGGGGGCAGGGGGCAGAGGCGACAAGCACTGAAGTTCCCATGGGCCTCTGAATGTCACACGATGGGAAGAGCTGTGTGACAGGACACAGTACGTGGTGTGCGATACCCAACATGAAACACAAACCAAGAACTGATGATCTCCTGTCCCCTCCCTCCGCGCTAGCATCGCCATCTCGGAGCCAGCTGGCCTCAGTTTACCACCAAGGCTGGTCATTCCCCCGTGCAGGGGAGGGCGACCAACCCGTGCCCCCACCGCCACCATCCCGAGACTGAGCCGCAGGCAACTGCCGAGGGTCCTCTGCAGAAGCGCTTTCCAGAGCGTAAAGCCCGGGTGAAGGCCGGCCTGTCCCCACAGCCTCTGGCATTCTCCCTTTTGTGGGTCCCGTCCAAGCGCCCGTCTGACTGGAAGCTGAAGCCCAGGCGCGGTGCTGCCACCACTGAAAATGCCAACTCAAGGGACCAGGATGTCCTGGGGTCCCTCGGCCTGGAGAGGCAGACCACGCGAGGCTGAAGAGTCGGCAGAGGGAACGCGAGAGGTACCCGGAGCCTCCTGTGTGCGGGATCCCTCAGGATGGGCAGGACCTGGGGCAGGCCGGTGTGTGGTGCAGCCCCGGCCTCCAAGCCGGGGTCCCAGTACCTTTGCATGGGCAATGGTACAAAGTACGGGAGTGCCCTCCCCGCCTCTCCCACACCTGGAGAAATCACTGACCATGCACACCTCTGTGCCATCAGGGACGGCAGCGTGGGGCGTGGCCCGGCGTGCCAGCACTAAGGAGATGGCAGTGCTCCGTCACGCCGCAAGGGGGCCGAGCTGCTTCTGCGTCTTCACACGAGGGATGGGCCAGGCTACCATCATGCCTTTCCTCCCACCCCAATTTAAGAGCTGACGGGGTGAGCACGGCCTGAGCCCGAGGCTGGAGAGCCGAAGCATGTGCCCAGCCTCACTCAGAACAAAACCAACGCCACCTTCCAGCCAGTCCGGCCCAACAGCACCAGGCACAGATCACCAGAAGAGAAAAATGCATCATCCAGAACTTACTACACGTAAACACATCTGTACCTCGGGCTTGTTCTTAAAGGGTCTGGGGGAGTTTCGTGTTTCAAGCACCTGCTTTTGCCACTGAGCACTAGAGGGCGAGCCACTTGGCCAGGGAAGAGCCCAGCGAGCCAGGGCCCACTCCTGTCTCCGGCCAGCGGTGGGGAGGCTGCAGCCTGAAGGCAGCTCCTACTTGCCAGGATACCTCGCAACATGCCACAGACCCTGCTTCTTAAAGTGCAACGAGACCCGAGGGCTAGGTGGTGCGGCCCCCCACTAAGGGTCAGGCCTCGTGGCAGCAGAGGCCCTGGTGTGGCTGTGAGGACGAGTGTCAGAGTGGGGCAGCTGCTGAGCAGCCTGGCAGGCGGGCTGAGCTAGGCGGAGGCAGGCGGAAAGGGCTCCGGGCAGGGGAGGGGCCGGAGCATGGCCTCTGTGCTTTGGCGGCCACCACTCCTTTCAAGCGCCCACCTCCCGCCCACGAGTAGCCCTTCTACTTCCACACCAGACCCGCGAACCCAGACCCCAAGGGCAGCCGGCACCCCCCACGGACACACGCACACTCAAGTAGTGTTTCTATAGCAATGTACTGTGTTCCAGGGTGGCCCGGGATCCGAGCTGCCCCGTCTCTCCAGCTCTCCCCATCAAGGGCTCGATTCATCTTCTTGGCAGAAAGGGGATCCGGTGACAAGATCCAGTGGGACCCCAACAGGCCCCCAGGTCACAGCCCAGGCAGTCTGTTTTTGCTGTCACAAAGACAAGGGCCCATACCACCTGTGTGCCTCCCACAGAGGTGAGTGGAACCCTGAGGCCTGTCGCTTTCTTTCTGTGGTTTCTGTTTCCTCCTGGGGTTCTTTTGTTCGAAGGGAGTCTCTCCTGTGCAGGGAGGGGCAGGGATGGAGAAGGCGCCGCATGCTCCCAGCCAGGCACAGAGCTGTCCTCCTGCTGTTCTGACCACCGGGCAGACGCCCTGGGCCTGCACCTCGGGTGGAGAGCTGTGGCCCGCGTGTCAAGAGCAGGTTGCTAGCCAGGCTGCCCCTGCCACAGGGGCGTGTGTGCAGACATGGAAGGTGGGAAGAGATAGACAAAAGAAATGGGAAGTGTTCTCTTCAGGGGTCGCCGGCCCCGCCCTGGGACAGGCCTGACTCTCAGAACATCCTCCTCCCCTGGCAAAGGCCAGGGGACTGTCCCAACAAGGGGCTCTGTACAAGCAGGGAGCAGAGGCCCTGAGGCTGGTGTGTGCAGACAGGCGGGCAGGAGGGGAGGTGGGCTGGGGAGCAGGGAGCGCGCAGAGGGCCCTGGGGCTGCTGCCTGACTCGCTCAGTCCTCAAAGTGTCCAAGTCCAAGGTCAGGCCCATGCTGCTGCCTGCAGCCAGCCCAGTCTGTAGTGCTGGGCCTGGGGCACCCGACAGCTCAGCCAGTGGAAGCTCACTGGCTGGCACAGCTGAGGTGTTGAGAAAGTGAGGGAGGGACACTCTCCCCTGCCCCAGGAACTTGGTTTTGTTCAGTGCCGGATGCCACCCTTTCAGAGAGAAGACCGGTTCTCGGGTCACCCCGGGCCTTGGTGGCTCACAGCGTGTGTTCGGCTTGAAGCTGGGAGGGGAGCAGTGGCTGCATCGGGGACTGGGGGGTGGGTGGAGGAGACTGGGGGGGTGACGGCTGACTCGTGACAGGTGTGGAGGTGAGGAAGGGGACGGTGGAAGCCAAGGCTGAGGGGGAGCTGGGCACGGCACCGGGAGGCTCGCTGATGGGCCGGTTGTAGAAGAAGAATGGGCACTGCTGGATGAAGAGTTCAATGATTGTCTGGTAGGTGCGTGTGGCCGTGAGGGCGTCCATGGTGCTGAAGTCGGGCCTCATCAGGGTGGGCCAGAAGCAGATGGAGAGGTTCTCGCTGGTCATGAGATTCACCTTGTTGTTGTGGCTGACTCTGCAGGACACCAAGCTCATGGTCAGAGCGGCCCACCCAACTCGGGAGCCTGGGGCTGCTGTTGTGAGCAGAGGAGGTCCCCACATGGTTCTCTGTGCCCTGCCCTGGAAGGGCTGTGGGCTGAGCCCTCAAGGCCCTCACCCCAGCCATGGGAGGCCCCACGGCCTCAGGGACTCACTCACCAGACAACCAAAGAGGGTGACAACGTGCTGGCTGTGCAGACGAGTGAGGCTGTGTGTGCCCTAAGCCAGAGCTTGTAAGACAGTCTTTAGCCAGCAAACCTGTTCTGTGCAGGATAAACTCAGCAACTCAGGTAGAACAGGCTTCCTACCTGCAGGGGCCGCACGCCCCTGGGGGAGGCTGGCTCCTCCCACAGCACACCCTCATGGCACTGTGTCTTATCACGCACCAGGTAGGAAATAAGGCTGGAAAGTGGACTCTGGAGGCTCTTAGGTTTTTTTAATTTTTACCCAAGGGCCAATTTCTGGAGGCGTCAGCACCAACCAGAGGATCTGCTCTCTCTGCCAGCTTGGGGGCTGAATAGGGTCACAGGCTCTGCCAAATGCTCCGTGGCCCTGCTAGGCCGGTGAAAGACAGTACACTGTCTGGTGTCGGGTACGTGAGGGGCCACAGGGGCCTCTCTGTCAGAACCGGGATGGAAGGCTGAGGATGAGCCAAGATGCCAGTGCTCCTTGTGCACCGAGCATCTCCCACTGAGGAGGACGACCAGAACCCCCGGCCAGATCTGTCCTGTTGCAGGCCAGGGTCTCACTGCTGCCCAGCTGAGGACAGAGCCTCACAGCCTTATGCTGCTGCTGACCAAACCTGGTCATCCATTTTTAGAAGGAAAAATCAGCCAGAAAGCCCCACGACTTACTTGTTTAGGTGAGAGATGACATATTTGAAGACTTCGTGGTTTTCTTTTGGAAATTTCTTTAATACCTCCTTAAGGGCATGTAACTTCTGTTCCCGGTCGTTGATTTCTGAGGAGAGAGAAAACCAAAGACTTTCATGGCTGAGACGGGCAGGCGTTCTGTGGCTCAAAGCCGATACCAGGCAGGTGGTGGAACCAGTGGGCTAGTGGCTGCCTCAGGGTACGCCCTGTAGTGGCCTTCTCTGAGGGTAGCCTGGGGCTTTCAGATGAAGCCAAGCCCACTCTTTCCCCCAAAGCAGCGCCTGGAGCCAGCACACCTGGCAGTGGCACGGGCCAAGGGGCCAAGCCCACCTCTGTGTCCCAGGCCCCCACTGAAGGACAGCACTGTGTGTCTAGGGCTTCCTGGCCCCCACAACTTGAGAAAGAAAGATCCAGAGAGCCTCCACTATAAAGAACACCATTCTTTGCTCATCCAGTTGCCCCTGGAGACAGGCGTCCCTACGCAGAAAGCCTGCTCGCTTCCTGATCAGACGGGTGGCTGCTGCCACCCACCCATGCCAACAGACCTTCGAGGGAGGGAGTCTGCCATGAGACCAGGGCTCTGTCCTTTTCCTAGAGACACAGGGACCCTCCACACATCTCTGGAGAAGCTAATGCAAATAGTGGGGGAATTCTTACATAATTCATCAAAGGAACTAAATACCCCCTTCCCTGCTGCCACCCACACTTTGCCTGTCATAGAATCCCAAATCCTAGGACAGGGAAGATGACGGCCCCAATTGAAGCGCGTCACCTGCACCAGGCCCAGTTCAGTTAGTCCCTGAAGTCCCATGAGGCTGGAAGCTGTCACCTCACCTCACAAATGAGGAATCTGAGGCCAGAGAAGTCACAGGGCGGGGAATCAACCCTACCTGATTGGCTGCAGGGCCTGAGCTGTGACCACTGGGCTCCCTCATCCCTGAGTGGGTCTGGCCTGCCTAGGCTGGCTTGGCTGGGAGAGGTGGAATGTTCCAGAGCTCACCTAGAGTCTCAGTTGGCTAAGACAGGGTTTTTTGTGCCTGGAAACACATCCCCAGAGTTACTTCTTGGACTCCAGGGCTCAGCAAAACCACAGGAGGGTCTCATGAAGGAGATGGCAGCATGGTGGCAAGGAGATGGCAGCATGGTGGCGTGGAGGTGGGGCACGGGCCTTGATGGGAAGCCATGATGGCTGCTCCCTGGATGGGTGCATGGCTCCTTAGAGATGCAGGAAGGCACAAGACCCCTTTCCCACTGGCACGTACATGTACAACTCTGCCTAGGAACCCTGGAGCTCATGGACTCTCTAAGTCACACACTCCTCAGGAAGCTTGTGGCCTCTCAGTTAAGAACCTTCATAGTAGGTGAGATGCTGAGAGGTCACAGCCAGGAGCCTCACAGGAGCCTGGCTCAAGGCCAGAGCATCGACAGTGGGCAGGGCTGGGTGGGAGGGAAGGTCCTTCGGTGGCCTGGAGCCCAAACCCAGACTCAGATGGTCCTGGGTTCAGATGGCCTCCAACAAACCTGCTGTGTGACCTTGGGCAACTGACACCTGAGTAGTGTCAATCTTGTTTGAAAAAGGGGCTGGTGACAGTGTCTCCCTCACTCAGTGACACTAAACAATTCAATGAAGAATTCACAGCTGGACATAAAGTAAGCACCTGGGAACCAGCCTGATTTGCAAGAGAGTGGAAGAGGCAACTGCAGAGACAGAGGGACAGAGGATAGTGAGGACGAAACCAGGTGCATTTTTGAATTTGAGAGTGTGCCTTGATAAAAGCCATGTTTTGATAACATTTGTCTATTAGAAAGCAGGTCGAGGTTGCAGTGGCCGGGAGCGTGCCACTGCACTCCAGTCTGGGAGATGGAGCAAGACTCCAACTCAAAAAAAAAAAGAAAAGAAAAAAGAAATGACTGAAAAAAAAAAATCACGGGAGTTAACTGCAATCAGTTTCATTTCTTTGAACCCAAGATTTGTTTTTTGTTTTTGAGTTGGAGTCTCACTCTATCACCCAGGCTGGAGTGCAGTGGCACGCTCACGGCCACCCCAGCGTCAACCCGCTGGGCTCTGGTGATCCTTCTGCCTCAGCCTTCCAAGTAGCCAGAACTACAGGCATGCACCACCACGCCCAGCTCATTTTTTGATTTACTGTAGAGACGAGGTCTCACCAAGTTGCCCAGGCTGGTCTCAAACCCGTGGGCTTAGGCAATCCACTTGCCTTGGCCTCCCAAAGTGCTGGGATTACAGGCTGCGCCACTAAGCCCGGCCCAAATTTTTTTTTTTCTTCCAGTTGGAGTCTCACTCTGTTGCCCAGATTGGAGTGCAGTGGCCGCTCCTGGCCACTGCAGCCTTGACCTGCTGGCGATACTTCCGCCTCAGCCTTCCATGTAGCTGGAACTACAGATGCGCGCTACAACACCCGGCTAATTTTTGATTTATTGTAGAGATGAGGTCTCACCAAGTTGTCCAGGCGGGTCTCGAACCTGCGGGCTCAGACAATCCGCTCACCTCAGCCTCCCAAGGCGCAGGATTACAGGCTGAGCCACCAAGCCCAGCTCCAAAATTTGTTTTAAAAGTTCAATCTTGGGCCAGACGTGGTGGTTTGTGCCTGTAATCCCAGCACTTTGGGAGGCCAAGGTGAGAGGACTGCCTGAGCCCAGGGGTTCCAGTCTGGGCAATTTAGCAAGACCTTGTTTCCACAATAAATAAAAAAATACTAGCCAGGTGTAGTGGTACATACCTGTAGTTCCAGCTACTTGGAAGGCTGAGGTGGAAATGAGGAATCCGAGGCCAGAGAAGTCACAGGGTGGGGAATCAACCCTGCCTGAGCCCAGGTTAAGACTGCAATGGCCGTGAGCATGCCACTGCACTCCAGTCCAGAGTAAGACTCTGACTCAAAAAAAAAAAAAAAACCAACAAAAAATTCAGCCTAAACTATCGTAATACTATAAGAAAGGGATTGACAGTGGCGGGAAACTATGGGGGGGCAGGGAGGGGAAGGGAGGTGGGATTAACAGTAGTCAATATCTGTCTGGGGACGGAGGGGGCACATCTCATCAACAAGGGTACCTGCACAATGCGTATTTGTATACCTAACCCTTAACTGTACCCACAATTTTAAAATAAAAAATACGTCAAAAAATAAAATGTAATAAAGAGTTAAAAAAAAAAATTCAGCCTCAGGGCCATACTCTCTCTATAGCCTTGAGTTTTAAAACCCTTTACTGTTTTTTGTTTTTTTTTTTTTTTGAGTTGGAGTCTCACTGTCGCCCAGAATGGAGTGCAGTGGCCGCTCCTGGCCACTGTAGCCTCGACCCGCTGGGCTCCGGTGATCCTTCTGCCTCAGCCTTCCAAGTAGCTGGAACTACAGGCACATGCTACCACACCCGGCTAATTTTTTTTTTTTATTAATTGTAGAGATGAGGTCTTGCCTGCCCAGTCGGGTCTCGAACCGCGGGTTCAGGCAATCCACTCACCTCAGCCTCCCAAAGGCGCGGGATTACAGGCTGAGGCACTGAGCTCGGCAAAACCCTTTACTGTTTATATTTCTTTCTTTCTTTCTTTCTTTTTTTGAGTCGGAGTCTCACTCCATCACCCAGGCTGGAGTGCAGTGGCACACTCATGGCCATCCCAAGCATTGACCTGCTAGGCTCCAACAATCCTTCTGCCTCAGCTTTTCAAGTAGCCGGAACTACAGGAATGTGCTACCACGCCCAGCTAATTTTTTTTTTGGATTTAGTATAGAGATGAGGTCTTGCCAAGTCACCTAGGCTGTTCTCGAACCTGGGGGCTCAGGCAATCCCCTCACCTCAGCCTCCCAAAGTGCTGGGATTACAGGCTTGAGCCACTGCACCCCGCCTGTCTCTTTTTCACACCCACTCTCCCCTTAGTTAGAAGTGGAGGGGGCTCCAGCAGGCCCAGTGCTCCATGTGGCATCTTCAGCTGCCCTGAGTGTTCCCCAGTCCCCTTGGCAGAGCCTGCTCAGTGAGGGAGGCTCCTGCGATCAGAGGCAGGTGAGCCTGGGAGTGGCTGGGTTGAGCGCTTGGAGAAAGGACGAGGCGTGCAGTGACATCTTCTCATTCTCGCCTCTTATCAGACAGCGTGAATCTTGTCATTCTCTGATTTGGAGCGACTCATACTCTTTCCTTCACACCACAGTTTGGCTGGAGGGTGGGCTCCCAGATTCTACATTCGACAGATGTTCATCAGCGCCTGCTCTTGACACAGCAGTGAACACAACACCCCCCACCCCCTACTGCTGACATCCTAGAGAGGCCCTCCCTAGTCCAGGAGGGTGGGCTCCCAGGGCCTCCCCTCCTCCCTGCCATGCTTCTCCCTAGGTGTGTTCACAGCTCCCCTGGCAGGATACTACTTGCTGAATGTGGTCCGCATGGACTCTTGGGGGCATGAGTCGAGGGCCTGGGAATAAAGCAGCAGCCAGGAGTCATCCCAGCCCGGGCGTCCTGGGTGTCTTCAGTCTCTCTTGCTGCTGCAGGCCTGGGACATGGTTTGCTTGACCTAGTTATGGGCAGCAGGTGCATCTGGAGGAGCTGTGAGCATTCCCAGGGGAGTGCAGCTCTATAGACTTTGTTTCAACAGGTACGGACAGAGGGCTGGCCTGATGAGTCCAAGGTACCTTTGTCAGTCAAACAGCTAGTGGAGGCAGCGGGCTCCCAGCCTGGGTTGGGGCAGTCTGGGGCACACAGCCCAGCTATGGCTCGGATGCCCAGAGTGGCCTTTGGCCATGCCAAAGCACGCCAGCTCGGGGAATCCTGGGTCTACTCGTCCAGACTTTGGCTTGACTGCCGTTGCCTCCAGAAGCCCTCCTCAAGGCCTGGACTGAGGAAAAGTGGATCCCTGTACCTTTTGCTTCCCACCCAGTCTCGAGGTCGACTGCCTGGGCCCCAGGGCTCTCTGGATCCCCCAGCTGCTGTACTACACTCTTCAGGAATAAAAACATTTGTGTTTTTCCTAAAAAGATAATGAACCATTCTGTTCCAGTGTATGGTTGGGGCAGAGAAGTGCACAAAGGTTGGGCAGGGAGAGACAGCAGCCTACAGAGAGAACCCCGAGCTGTGTACTGTACCCGCCCCCTCAGCTTGGTCCCAGTGGCCCTCCTGGCCCTTGCTGGGGAGGTGTGGGCCATGACCTGTGCTGGTTGCCCAGGGCCCAGCAGCACTTCCTCCCGGGACACTGGACTTCTGGACCTAGGGGTGAGTCAACAGAGGGTAAGAGGGGCTCAGGGAGGCAGTTCTGGGACAGCTGAATCAAGACAGTCTGGACACAGGACAGCCCACTTAGAACCACTGAGACCCCACGAACTCAGGAGGAAGATGCCACAGGGACCTTAAACTAGCTTGTCACACACCTTAGAGCATGGACACACCAGGGTTCAAAAAGCAAAAATAATAGTCCAAGTCACACAAATTGGTGTAGGGAGCCTGATCCCAAAACCACGTTCCTCTCCGTTGTGTACTTCTGCTTGCCACCACTGGCACCTAGGCTGCCAACCAAGCTCAGGCCCGGACCTGTTGCTGCCAACTCAGCTCCTGGAGGAAACCCCTCCTAGCCTCTGACCCCAGGCACACCTGCAACACGGAGAAGAGAAAAGCCGGGTTCAAGGTGACACTCCTTCAGCAATGTGTGCCAGCACACCGGCATGCCACTCCCCCAGCCCAAGTGGCAAACAGCTCCAAGGCCAAGATCTAACTCTGGAAAATCAGGCTGCTGTTCTCCTGGAGGCATGACCTTGCAATAACCAGTTCAGTCTCCTGTCCAACCAGACTGAGGCAGGGACCGCATGTCGGTCCACTGCCATCTGTCCCTGTCCATACAGGCCGGGCACACACTGGTAACCTATGAAATTAACAAACCCTGTGCTTGGCTGTGAGAAGCACACCCATGCCTTCGAGCAGCTAACAGACAGACGAGAAAGAGGCAGGATCTCAGAATCAACAACGTGATATTTCAGATATTTCAGGAACAAGAGCTCAAACTGCAGCAAGGCCTGTCCGCCCAGCGACCTCGGCAGTCTGTCATTTATTATCTCTAGCCTAAGTTGTCCCATCTGGCAAGTGGAAAGGGAAAGACAGTAAGCTGGTATCCTGAGCCGTGTTTGGGTCATACATCCCTTTGACATTCTGATGAGAAACGACTGGTCTCCCTAGACCAGAAAGACTGACTTTCATGAGCTGTTACAGCGAGTTTTTTTTCCCCAGTAGGAGTCTCACTGTTGCCCAAGTTGCAGTGACATGCTCATGGCCACCGCAGCCTTGACCTATGATCCTTCTGCCTCAGTCTTCCAAGTAGCTAAAACTACAGGCTTGCACTACCACACCTGGCTAATTTTTTTTTTTTTTTGAGTTGGAGTCTCATTCCGTCACCCAGACTGGAGTGCAGTGGCCG